TGATCATAAATTCAAAAACTCAGAATGGATATGGACAAAAATATGTAAAGAATTAACGAACTTAAAAAAGAAACTGAAGCAAAAGAAAAAAAATTCCAGAAACAAAGATTACATTGTAAGTTTCCAAAGGAGAATATAATTAAGCAGCATAAAGAAAAAAATGTAAAAATTAAACAGAAATGAACAAAAATGGTAAAAAAGAGAAACTGATACAGAAAACTTAAAAAGATCCAACACTTTACTGAAGAAGTAAAATCAAACAATAAAACTAACATTTAAAAGACAATTCAAGAAAACTTCACTGTCATAGAAGATCTACATCTGTATGTTGAGCTGGGCCCTAACATACCTGGAAAAAACTGACCTAGAGGAGGTAACTACAAGACATGTTTGTAAAATGACTTGACTTTAAATAGAAAAAAATGCACTGGACCTTCATATGTATACAATGAAAGGACCAAGTCACTCATAAAGAAAAGAAATCTGGCTGGCACCAGACTTCTCAATAATAAAGAAACAATAGGGATGCCTGGGTGGCTCAGTGGTTGAGCATCTGCCTTCAGCTCAGAGTGTGATCCTGGAGTTCTAGGATCAAGTCCCACAACGGGCTTCTTGCAGGGAGCCTGTTTTTCCCCTGCCTCTTTCTCTATGTCTCTCATGAATAAATAAATCTTAAAAAAAAAAAAAGAACATTTTCAAGAAACTTCAGGAAAGAAAGTCTGAGCAAAGGATTTTATATTCAGCCATGCTACCCTTAAAGAATAAAATCTATAGAAAATATTTGAACACACAAGAACTAAAGAAAGATTGTATCTGCAAGCCCTTTTGAAGCATCTTATAGGTGATAAGCTCCACGGGGGAACTTTGGCAAGTCTGGTGTTGAGCATCGAAGATATTTAGTGAAGCATTCTAGAGTACAACATAACTGAGGATAAAGGTGGGAGATAATGTTATATGCTCTGACAAAGTGGAAATAATACAGCTGAACCAGGGAGGAGAAGGGAAGAGTAGAATTGGCTCATTGACTGACATGTAAGTAAGATGGGAGCCAAAGGTTATTACAGATAGCAAAACTAGAAACCTAAGTAAGGTAAAAAATGAACTAGATGCATCATATAATGTATCACTAAAAAGGCACCCACTTGAACACTAGTCCAAATGTGTAATTATTAAAAGAAATGTTTAAAACTATTTTTAAAAGAAGACTACATAGTAAAAACACAGCAAATATAAAAAGTTGTAGCAAAAAAAGCTGTAGCAAATGTACACACAATAAATAATGACAATGCTGACACCAAAGATGAGTCTATGTTAATATAAACAAATAAATAAATTGAAAATGAATAAATTTTGATGATAAAAAGGATTGTTTACATAGGCTTGAATTACTTTTCCACAAAATACTAGTATTACTACTTTTAAAGAGAAAAAGTAATATTACACTGAAGAAATCTGGGACAGACCACGTTTAAAAAATTTTTACTTATTTATTTTTAGAGAGAAAGAGTGGGGGGACAGAGGGAGAGAATTGTTTGTTTGTTTTTTTTTTAATTTTATTGAGAGAGTAAAAGCAAGCAGGGGTGCGCAACGGGAGAGGGAGAGTGAGAATCTCAGACACCGCACCCAGCATGGAGTCCAACATGGGACTCCATCTCACAACCCTAAGATCATGACCTGAGCCAAAATCAAGAATTAGAGGCTCAACCAACTGAGCCATCCAGGTACCCTGGGACATACCACTTTAATCAAAGGATCGTAATAAATACCACCCAGTAGCAGAATAAAATGATTTCACAGATAGTACAAAAGAACTCATCATGAAATTCAAGGAAACATTGAGAAATGGTTCCAGATTGAAGAAGCTAATGAGAGAACCAAATTCAACATGTGGATTCAATAGCTGGATTGCCTTTTAAAATAAAGGTAATTTATTAATTTATTAATTAGGTAAATGTATTTATTAATTTATTAAATATTTTATTATTTACCTTTTTTAAAGATATGGAAAGGACAGCTGGAAAATTTGAACGGTGGTTGGAGGATTATAGCGTGGTTAACTTCCTGGTTTTGATGGCTGCACTGCAGTTATATAATATCTTTGTAGGGAAAATAGACTTAAGTGCCTAAAGGAGATGGAGCAACATGTCAGCATCTTACTATCAACAGGGTTCAGGAAAAAAAGTTTCTTCTATACTTGCAACTTTTCTGAATAGTTGAGATTGTCTCAAAATAAATACTAAAAATAATAGTAAAGAGAACCCTGAGAAAGAAAAGTGACAAGGCAGGGTTAGCTTTATTATGTAGCCTTGATAAATATAGCTGTATGGCTTTAGTACATGAATAGACACACGAACGCTAAGGAAGAGAATCCAGAAGCACATAAATATGACATCTCAAATCACTGACAAGAAGGTGAATTTACTAACAAATGACTGAAATAACCAGATAACCATTTGGGAAAAGATAAATTTGGATCCATATTTCTTTTTATATACCAGAACAAACTTCAAATCAGAGTCAAATGAAAAAAAAAAATCTTGTAAGTACTAAAAGAGCATAGGTGAAGTCTTTTATAGCCTAGAATCAGAAAGTCTAACTATAACTCAAACAAGAAGCAATGTAAGATTAATATAATTCCATCTCCAAAATATAAAACTCTGTTGCATGGCAAAAAGCACCAGAAGCAAATGACAAATAAGAATATATTTAGCACATTATATCATAGAGAGTCTCCCTAAAATATAAAAAGCTCATAAGTAAAGATAAAACAGAACCTGTTCAGAAAAAAATGGGCAAAAGACATAAATAGACAATTCATGGAAAAGTGCAAATGGCCTTAAATATATGGAAAAAAAATACACTGATACCTTATCCAACCACCTACAGTATCTTTACAATGCCTTCCTATCTATCTATCTATCCACACACATTTTGAATTATTTGGGTAAAATGGCATTTCTGAAATCTGTTTTAATATATACCAATAACAAAAAACAAGAGTATCAAATATAATTAGCAAACTGCCATTAATAATTGATTCTACAGAGATACATGGTTTCATTATATTACTCTTAATTTTGAACTTTTGGACATTTGCATGATTAAAAGTTTAAAAAATAGGAATGACTTAACTAGTATAATAAAATCTATACAATGAAGTACTATGCAGCCATAAAGAAGCAATGAGCAAGTTCTATTTGTAATGATACAAAGTAATCTCCAAGATTCAGTTAAGTGAAAATAAAAAAGCGAAGTATAGAATAGTATATATAGTATGTATCTATCCTTTGTTATATAGTATAGAATAGTATATATAGTATGTATCTATCCTTTGTTCAAGTATGCACATATATACATATTTACAAAAAAAACATTGAAAGAGCAATAGAAACCAATAAAAATGGCTACTATGTGGGAAGGATAGAAGGGTAGAGGAAAAAAAAACAGGGTGGAAGTGATGGTAATAAAATAAGACTTCTGCATACACTTTCTTAAAAAAGATTTATTTATTCATGAGAGACACAAAGAGAGAGGCAGAGACAGGCAGAGGGAGAAGCAGATTCCCCGTGGGGAGCCTGATGCAGAACTCAATCCCAGGACCCCAGGATCATGCCCTGAGCCAAAGGTAGACGCTCAACCATTAAGCCACCCAGGTGCCGCTGCATTTACCTTTATACATAAATTTGAATTTTTAACTATGCTTTATCTATTTAAAAATCCACTAAATGAAAAAGAAAATTAGAAACTTAAGATAAGAAAATATCTTAAGTTTGAAAACAAAATGTCTCAGTTGCATTTCAAATTAGTACAGACATACCTTGTTTTATTGTGCATATATATATATATATATATATATATATTTACAAGTGGTAAGATACTCTATTGCTGTTCAAGACATCAATGCAAAGGAAAGTAAGGGACTGTTCAAGATAAGAGATTTAAGAGCTACAAGGAAATGCCATGCATGAACCTTCATTGGACAGGAGTTGAAAATTAAGGAAAAAGCCATATGGAGTCAGTGAAAGACTGGATTTTAGATGAAATCAGTGGATCATTAACGTCTTAGGTGTGCTAATGGTTTCATCATTCAGTATAAACTAGGTGATACTATAGTAACAATGAGCCCAAACACAAGTTTATTTCTCACCCTTCTCGTGTAGCATTTTGGTGTTACGCCCCCAAGCTATTGCTCTTCACACAAGAGTAATTCTGCATTTCCTTTAAGAATAAGAGATGCTTACTGATCAGGGTCATGGTTTAGAGTGTGATTCTCCATTAGGCAGCAGAATCTCCAAAACATATTTAATGCAAACATATCTGAAAATTGCTTTGTTACACATTCCACTGTCTTACAAAAGTCACTGTGCAGAGATATTTTACTTGCTTAGAAACAACTACAGTAGCACTAATATTGTTTATAAAAATGGCAGAAATTAGTGTTTTATTTTCTTAGAATAGTATATATCCTGTTCTTTAGTCAATTATTTTAAATTACAGTCTTTTTCTAGAGACAGATTTCTAAAGCTTAGTCTGTATTTTTAAAAAGAGCTTCTACATTTTAACTAACCAAAACATGTGAACGCCAATTAGACTACTGCATGGAAAAGCCAACAAAATAGCTAAAACTTGGCCAATGAAAATAGATCGATATCACTGATAAAAGTCTACAACTGTTCTAAACAGTTTTGTAAATGAACAGAATTTCACCCAACTTAGAATGCCAATGGAAAATGTTTCAGTACTCTAAAGCTGACCTGGGAAAAAAAAGAAAAAAGGTAGAAAAGGCTATTCGAATAGCCAAAATGCAGAACACTGGAAACACTAAACACTGGTGAGGATGTGGGGCAACTGGTGGGGATGCAAATGGTGCAGACACTTTGGAAGACAGTTTGGCAGTTGCTTACAAAATTAAACATGCTCTTATACAACCCAGTAACTGCACTCCTTGGTATCCACTCAAAGGCGTTGAAAACTTCTGTCCATACAAAAACCTGCACACGGATGTTTAAAGCAAACTTTATTCACAATTGCTGTAACTTGGAAGCAAGCCAGACATCCTACAATAGGTGAATTTATAAACTGTGGTACATCCAGGCAACAGAATATTATTCAGTGCTAAAGAAGTGAGTGAGCTATCAAGACATGAAAAAACACAGAAGCTTTTTCAAATTTCTAAAACTTCAAGTTTTAGAACTTGAAATGCATTCATTAAGTGAAAGAAGTCAATGTGAAAGGCTACACACTGCACAATCCCTACTATGTGACACTCTAGAAATGGTAAAACTATGGAGACAATAGAAAGATCAGTGGTTGCCAGAGGTAGGGGGATAAGGAGGGACGGATAGGAAGAACAGAGGATTTTTTTGGGCCATGAAAAATACGTTGTATGATACTATAAAGGTCATCATACATTTGTCCAAAGCCCACAGAATATACAACAGTAAGGATGAACACTAAGGTCAACTATGGACTTGGGGTAATGATGATGTCAATGCAGGTTCATCAATTGAACAAATGTAGCACTCTGGTGGGGTATATAAAAAATTTCTGGACCTTCCTCTCAATTTTGTTGTGAACCTAAAACTACTCTTAAAAAAATAGTCTTTAAAAAAAAAGGGAGGGGTCCTGATACTACCCCCTGCTGCCCTGCTAGTCTACCAAATAGAGAATTAAAAAAAAAAAAATTTCCCTCCATCTCTATTTAGTCAAGATTCCCTGAGCTACTTCTCGCCTAGCTAACCTTTCAAAACACTCCCATATAAACTTTTTCCTGTAAGTCATTTTCCTTGTGTTTATCTCCAGATCTCTAGATCTGCCTTTGGGGAGATATTTTTACTCTGAATGTATATACTCACTAGACACTGCCTTCCACCAAAACTGTGACATTATCAACTCTATCTGCTGAAACTTTTAGCCCACTATACCTGTTTTAAGTATTTTGGAAATTATTTTTATATATGTTATTATTTATCAAGATCGAACTTTGGGAAAAGGAATTGCTCAAACCCTATACTGTTATGATTAGTATAATGTGAAGGTCCAATTCCCTACTTGAGCAAAGAAAAAACCAACCACAACTTGATTCCATTTGTTTTTTTCCCCAAAAGAAAAATATCCAAAGTAAAATGTGAATATTTAATTACCTTTAAATAATATATCTAATAATTTACATGCTATACATCCCCAAACACACTGAACGTAAATTTTATATGACATATACACAATCTGCTTTCTGCCAACATATACTCTGTAGGTCACTTAAGATGTTAACTAATTTCTCAGTCCATGTGTGAGCACATAAACACACACACACACACACACATATATATACATATGCCTGAAGTTGAAGATAATAAACCAAAAACATGTGAATATAAGAAATCTGCTAAGGAAGATTCTAAAACCACAGTCAATAACTGGAACCAAATAACAAGGCACAAAAGCTTCCCTTTGTGGTTACAAAGATTAAGTTTCCTGTCCCAGTGCTTAAGTATGGAAATAGGCTTGGCTAAATCACAAACTATATTTAATAGTGCATTTCTGTTACTGTTTAAAAAGGAGTATTTTTCTTATTACGTAATGCATTACACAAAAGCATTGGAAAAATAAACAGGATAAGTTCTTATACAATAAAGCTTTTTTTCATTTGAAAAACATATTTGTTTATGTTCAAAACTAATGTAATAGATATAAGTATAGTAAAGAGAAGCATTAGGGATCCTATCCAGGTTTCCTACTACCCCTACATCATACCTCTTGCCAGTCATGTTACTTCAACCTTCAATTTTAAAGTCAGCTGGATGACACTGTGAATTTTTTTTTGTTTTGTCATTTAAAGATATGTTCCTAGCACACAGAACGGTTAACATAACATTGGAAAATGAAACTTTTCCTAGCATTTAAATTGTTTTTGCTAAACATTAGCTTTGCACTAGGCTATCCTTAATTTTCCCTTTTTTTCCCTATGTTAACAGAGAAGAAAAAATGTTCCACATAGAAATGGCTGCTTTAAAATTCATGCAACCAAGCGAAATCTAAACTATTTGTATTTCCCTTTTGTTTAACCCCCAAAATTGGGGGAAACTGAAAGTCTGTCCTAGGAAGAGTAACTCACTGAAACAAAACCATATACATATATACTCTTCATTGTCTTTAAGAACAGTGTTACAGTCGCTTTTTTAAAGTTTCACAGTTATCAAGGGAATAAAGCCACCACCAAGTAAGAATCAAAAGAATGCAGTAATCTATCCATAAAAGACAGTCAAACATGTTTACACATATTCAAGAAATCAATACTCTAAGCTGTAAATAATGTCATCAAATGTAGCACTGCACAAACTGTCATCAGAATAAAACGTTCAGTTTCATTAATTTTGAATATGGACATGGGACCAGCCAACCATGAACTTAATGGTGCACTTCTACATGTTTACACAGGAGTATTGTAGCATGCAGCCCCTGCAGTAATGACAGTGAACTTCTTTAAAAATCAAACAAGGGGGATCCCTGGGTGGCGCAGCGGTTTGGCGCCTGCCTTTGGCCCAGGGCGCGATCCTGGAGACCCGGGATCGAATCCCACATCGGGCTCCCGGTGCATGGAGCCTGCTTCTCCCTCTGCCTATGTCTCTGCGTCTCTATGTCTCTGCGTCTCTCTCTCTCTCTCTCTCTCTCTATCATAAATAAATAAAAAAAATTAAAATTAAAAAAAAATCAAACAAGGCTGACCAAAAGAAAAAACCAAAAAATCCAAAAACTTGCTCTTGGCTATAAAACTTAAGAGTAAAGGATGAATTGAGATTTTAAGGCTTTCTTAGAATATTTTTCATGGCACTTCTACATTAAACATCACCAATCGACAGAACATGTAAATATTCATAGTTACATAGTTATGTAGTCAAAAGTACATGCCATGTCAATTATTAAGTAAGGGAGAGCTTTGTCAAGTTTTGTTTTCTGGCAATTAAGTTATAGTTAAGAAAAGTTGTTCATGTTTGGCTGTAATTAACATATAAATCATACAGAAATGTCAATTCACTAGTCTATAGTACAAATTGTGTTTTGAATAAATCTGCCAGTACCACTTGTTTCTTAAAGAACTGAAAGTCATTCCTTGCTGGAAATGCAATTAAACTGACTTATTTCTCTCATAGGAGTAGTTATTACCATTTCTTCAACTATTAAACTCTAAGATCATTATCAGACAAATTCCTTTTGGTCATGCACACTGATCATCTTCGCAATAATCCATTTCTTGCACCACAGTAAGTCCAGAACAGACTTTATGGGTCTAACAGGTCATTCTTGCCACACCATACTCTAGGCTGACCACACCGGGTTCTGATTTGGAAAACTCTTCAGCATATTCACTGTAACGATTATCTGCTGGGTTGCTGCCCTCTATAGTTCGAAGAGCATGATTCACAGGTAACAGAGTTTGCTCCTTAAAACACAAGGAAGTTTTGAGGGTAGGTGATTCAGGATGAACTGAATGTAACAACTCCTTGGTAAGAATTCCATCTGTTTGCTTACTTTTACGTTGCTTAATTTTCTAGAACAAATACAAATTTGAAAAAAATTAATTATACATACCACATATTCAATATAGGTTAGAAAAAGGAACTATACTTTTGTAAATGATCTCTTTATGAACAATACAAAGTTAAATCTCAAAAAAAATTAATAAACCTAGTGCAGAATAAGACATGGTTGAGAATCCTAATTGTGTACAACTTTTACAGTGGAAAATGGTTATTACACTTGACTGCAAAAGATCATTAGGCTTTCATATCTGAAAAGAGCACACATTACCTAGAAAGTATAAAAAGTAAATATCTTATAATAAAAGATGTATGAGACTTCACCCAGAATCATAACTGTATAATGTAATAAGCACACACTTATTTATTACCTAAAGGTTTTATTGCCTAAATAACTTTCTTACATGGTTTCCCTACAATGACTTGTTAGATAAACACAAAAAGGTAGAATATAACAAAATTTTTATGTTTTGAAAGATTTATATATACATTTTTGAGAGAAAGAAGAGCAGGGGAGGGAAAGAGAAAGCATTTCAAGCAGACTCTCTGCTGAGTGCAGAGCCTGACAAAGGGCTGTATCTCACAAGCGTGAGATCATGACCTGTGCCAAAACCAAGAGTTGGCCACTCAGCTGACTGTGGACCACCCAAGCGCCCCAACAGAACTTTTTTTTAAAACATAAGATTTTAAAAGTATTCTTTGGCAGAGTATCACACTCTCCAAGTCCTTGAACTGATCTCTAGCCACTCATGGGCTTGCCTCTCTTTTGACACATTTTCCTACCTTCTCTTCAAGCAGTCATTAATTACCTTCTTACCTGCTTGAGAGACAGACATGACAGTCTGAGTTACAACAACTGTCTAGGATTTTTAAAGTATGTACTTACTGATCCTCTTTGCTTATATATGATGACAGAGAAAAGATTATAAGAAAGTCTAACAGTGGAGAGAGACTTCTTACACAAGATACAAAAGGCACAAAACATAACTTGACTGCATTAAAATTCAAAACATCTATAAAAAACATACCACAAATAAAATGGAGAAGATGAGAACAGACTGAGCAGAGCCACTTGTGAGATACACACACACACACACACCTCTAATAAAGAATTAATGTCCGGTATACAAAGAACTCTTACAGATCAATAAAGAAAAGGCAAATGTGCCAACAAAGAAATGAATAGAATTTGGAATAGGCCATTCAGAGAACAGGAAAAATCAAATGGCCAACTAAATATATGAAAAGTCATTTAACTTCCTTTGTTATCAAGGAAATCCAAAACTGAAAACAATATGCATGTAAGAGATTATATAGTCGATATTAATAAAACATATAAATTAAAGCTACATGTATCAACATGGATAAATTTTAAAAACAATGTTGAGTAAAATAAAGCATCATGGTATAACAACCTTTATACAGTTTTAAATCATGCAGTTCCTTAAAAGCTGGGTGAAGGGCACATATGCATTCATGTTGTCTGTTGCTCTTTTATACCTTATAAAAAATATATTCTTTTGTATTTTTTCAATATATAATAAAAATATTTTAAATCACACAAAACAATATTATAAATCGTGGATAAAAACATATATAGAAGTAAAAAAATATGCATAGGACCATTAACACCAAATTCAGCCCAAAGTAGGTGGGGAGGGCTGAGCAGGAGTATACTTCTTCAAATCTATCTATCATGTTTCATTTCTTAAAACAAAAACATGAAAAATCTGAAGCAAATATGATAAATGTTAAAATTTCACAAAGCTAGGTGGTAAATACCCTGATATTTATTATGTTCTTATCTCTACTTTTCTATATACAGCTGACCCCTGAACAACACAGGGGTCAGGGGAAGCAACTCTCCATGAAATCAAAAATCCACATATAACTTTTGACTGCCCCAAAACGTAACTACTAATAGCTACTGTTGACTGGAATTCTTACCAATAGCATACACATTGATAGAATTGACATATATTCTCTAAGTTATATTAATATTAATAATATAACTGTTGACTGGAATTCTTACCAATAGCATACACATTGACACAATTGACACATATTCTTTAAGGTATATTAATACCATATTCTCACAATAAAGCTAGAGAAAAAAAAGTTACTAAGAAAACTATAAGAGAAAATACATTTACAGTATTGTAATTATAAAAAAAAAATCCACTTGTAAGTGGACCTGTGCAGTTCAAACCTATGTTGTTCAAGGGTCAACTGTACTTCAACTACTTCAATTTGAAAATTCAGGGAAAACAATTCAAACTAACCTATTGAAAACAGAGATCTGATTACTTTGAAGCAATCATGTATACTTCTGAGGTTTCCATATATACTAATATACACTAAGAATATAAGTAAGGAAACACATTAATTTAGTATTCCAAATATATTAGATACTTCAGAATACTTACAGATTCTAAGTCTTTAATATCGTTCTCTAACTGTTCATTTTGCTCATTCATATTCATAATTATATTAAACATGGACTGTCTAGGATGCAATGTTCGATCAAATTGGTGGTACATGTTTCTCCAAAACCTTTATGACAAAGACAAAAACAACAACTCAATAAATTGTGTTTGAGAAAAATAAAGTATAGATACCTCAATGATGCCAACTTACTTAAAATTGAAGGAGACTGTATTTGGCTCCAACACGGCAGATTTTGGAGATTTGGAACTATAGAGGGGATTTAAGTACTTCTTTTGGTCATCCAGGAGAAATGGCCACAGGGAGTAAGTCTTCTCCTTTAACCTTAACATAATGAGAAAAACCAAGATGTTTCCCACAGATGCTAATACTCATTTTTATAAACAGGCAATTGTTTCCCAAGTAGATTTCAGTTTTAATTTTTCCTTCTATTTGCAATCTGACCTCACCTTGTCTCTGAATTCTGTATTCTCCCTTTTCTCCTTTATCACATATAATCATGAAATAAATAAAACCAGGTCTCTTTGGACATAACATAGGTCTACCATTTTCTCTCACAACCATACACGTTAAGAGATTCCTTTCAGCTCACATAATTTCACAGACATGGTCTCTGTTATACCTATTTCAAATCAGCAGACACTTTGAGTAAGACACTTGAATCACTGTATCTGGGTGTAGCAGCATGTATTATAGAACAGGGACAAATTTAAGAGCAAGTGAATAGGAAAAAAAGGAAGTAGGAAAAATCAGGATGTTATTCAACAGTAAAAAGATGCCAATTATATTGCAACTCTAAAAGTTACGTGAAGTAAGTGGATAAAGGGTAGAATGGATTAGGCCAAATAAACATAAAATAGATAGGGGACCAGGGGAAAAATGGAGTCTGCTCATTTCTCTATGACTCCTAAGATGACCGATAAGTAAATTCTTAGAGAAAGACTATTAGGAAATAAATGTTTTTATTATCATCTTCCTTTGTAAGAGGATGTTTGGCACTGAGAAGAATAGTTTTTTTTTTTTCTAAAATAGCTCTCTACTTTAAGAGTCACTTGCTCCAAATTATAATAAGCTACTGTGAATTACTATAGCACAGAGCTAAAGTCTTAACGCTCTTTGATTTGTTCATCTCTGTCATACTCTTATTTCACTTGTAATTCCCTTTACACATCTTTAGAGTCTTCCAAGTGCTCCAAGTACTCTCAGTTCTGCCTTCAATTCTTTTTTTTTTTTTAATACATTCATGAGAGACAGAGAGAGAGAGAGAGAGAAAGAGAGAGAGAGAGAGAGAGAGAGAGAGAGAGAAGCACAGACACAGGCAGAGGAAGAAGCAGGCTCCCCATGGGGAGCCAGATGCAGGTCTCAATTCCAGGACCCCGGGATTATGCTCTGAGCCAAAGGCAGAGGCTCAACCACTGAGCCACCCAGGCGCCCCATCTGCCTTCAATTCTGTTGAGAGTGAGAGAGTATGTGGCTGTCTTCAAACCACTACCAGATTTAGCTTCTCTAATATGTCACTTGGACATTTAAGAATCTACAACTGAAAAAAAAAAAAAGAAAGAAAAAAGAATCTACAACTGTTCTTTATTGACTTGTAAGAAATCTAAAAGTTAGAAACCCAACCAAAAAAAAAAAAGTATATAAGAACTTTTCGCTGTCTTATCCTGCATCTCCTTCGCAGCAAAATTTAGCGAGAAACCCCTACTCCCAAAGACTGGTTAGGAAAGAAGAGGTTTAAGACCCAACTCAGGGACACACTGCAGCCAACATAGATCTATGTTCCTCAACCTGCCTAGAAGTGTGAGGAGAACTGGACTTATCTTACCTTAAAGCCTACAGTTTTTAAATCCTTTACCCAACGTTAAAGCTTGGTAATTAATACTTTCTAGGAAATGAAATACTGTTAAGATTTTTCTGTTTTACACATATATTCAGACCAGCAAGGAGTAGGAGGGTGGTTTCCAGGGTGTTGGTAAAGGTTTCTTGTTCTAGGTACTGATTACATAAATGAATGAGTTTCAGATTTATTGAGCTTTATACTTATGCTATATTACTTTTCTGTATGTATGTGCTACATTTCAAAACAAATTTTTAAAATGTGTTTTTACTATCAACCTGAGGATGTGAGGGAAAGAGGGCACTTAGCTTCAGAAATACAATAAAATCTTTACAATAAAATTCAGTTCTATTACATACTGTCAAGATATTTTATGTTCAACCATGATTTATGTTAGAACTCAACTAAGTAGGAAAAAAAGAGCCCACTGTATGCAAACTATCTTACTTGAGCTCTTCTCTTTCCTTCTGACAATTTCCAAGGAAGTTTCCAAATTGGCATGAATGAATATGTTCATGGATCTGAAGAAGAAATGCTTCGTTGAATTCAAAGGCTTGTGGGAACTGTTCGGTCAAATGCCACACACACTCCAAGAACTGAGTAAACACCGGTGAGACTTCCTTTGGGTCACCATCCAAATGGCCACACCTAGCCCCACAGAAAGTACAAGCTTTTAAAAATGCCTCTGGAAGAAGTCAATTTGTTCAGGTATTATCAAATTTAAACATACACACAGGAACCTAAAACATTCTATCTAAAAAAAAAAAGCATAATGTTTTTACTAAAACAATTTAAATTTAGGAGGTTTTCAACCACAACATTAAAGGGTCTATTACCTTTTAAGTACCACAATCCAGACAAAAAAGAAAGGTAACAAGCTGCCATGAAAATTAACAAAGTTAAAAAAAAAAAAGAAAAGAAAAAATTAACAAAGGTATGAGAATTGAAAGAGATAACAGAAAAAAATTAAATCAATTTTCATACCAAAAAAAAAAATAAACCTATTGGCACTCTCATCTGCCACTGGACATGCGAATTCATGAAGAACAGAAATATCTTCGCACTCTAAAATGGTCTTATTCGTTTTACAAAATACATAAATGTAAAACTATGACTCACCTTTCTGAAAACTTATGTCCAAAAGAGATCCAATCCTTTTCTATTAAAACCTTAATGACAAAAAGTAAAATTCAATTTACAACTACTTTCCATTTCTTTTGTCTAAAATGGATTCAATTCTATTAACAACAATTTATCCTTTTAACTTAAGGTTGTAAACAAAACAAAACAAACAGTTGTTTAATTATAGGTAAAAGACAGTAAGAACCTGGATTAGAGGTTGGTTTAACAAAGAGTAAAAATGACACATAAAAGAAAAATACAGTAGTCCTGGGACTTAAATCATTTTGGTTGTGTTTATTACCTTTTAAGTGAAAACTACATGTTATAAAGCACTAGCACATTTACATTTTTGCATATCTAATGATGATATCTGCACAGAAAAATGGCTAGGAAAATGTAAATCAAAATGTTAACAGTGTTAACTGGGGGTAGTAAACTGGAGTGTATGCTTTGGTTTATTCATTACTTATATAATACCAAAAAAAGAATGATAAAGAGACCAATAAAAAGTGTATATTCAAATTCAGATGGTGATAGCTAATCTCTTGAATGGACTATCTTAATCTGTTTTCTCTGAGTAATAGGCTACTGAATATAATTCTACTGAATAATAATAGGCTTCTAATTTTTTTCAGTCTAATTTATACATTGTATCTTCTTAGTATTTAATGTATCTTGTAATTTCATTATATAATCACCAAGCACATTCTTTTCAGTGTCAAAACTGCCACCTTTAGGGGGGAGCTAAGATGGCAGCAGAATAGGAGGACTCTAGGCTGTTTTTGTCAGTTGAACACAGATAATTATCAAATCATCCTAACACCCCCAGAAACTGGCCTAAAGACCGACGGAACAAACTCTACAACTATGGGGAGAGAAGAAGCCTCATTGAAGAAGCACTGAGTGGCAACATGATCCTTATTTTCAGCTGAGCACACTCTGGTACAGGGGGGTTAAATTCCTACCAGATAAAATGATGAGATAGAGAAATTTACCCCAAAAGAAAGGAGGGAGGTAGTATCCACTGCCAGGGATTTAAAAAAACAACTACCTTTAGCTTCTCTTTGTTGTAAATCTCTCCAGAAAGCCACATATTGTGACAGGGTAAGATTCAGTTTCTGGGGCCATGTTGCCTAAGCTCAAATCCTAGCTTCACCACTTCCACCTGTGTGACCTCAGGCAAGTGGTTCTCAGGCTGGAGCCTCAGGTCTTACCAAAGGCCCTCTGCTGCTCCTCTACACACCCACATCTAAAACCTAACTCAGTATCTTTCTCACTCAACTTAGACTTCTACTTCTCTCAGTAGTGACCAAGAGAACAGCACAATCCATCCTAGCAACTGAGTCCAGAGATAGGAAATCATCCTGGAAGAGAGCTCCTCTCTTCTTCACATCCAATCCAAGAACAATTCTTACCGATTCTACTTTCTCAGCATCCCTGGAGGCTGAACCTATTACCTCCTCTTGCATTTGTGTGGTACTGCCTTACTCCTGGGACCTCTTTTCTCTCCAGAGCTATTCTACCAGTTTCTACACTGGTCTTCCTGCCTCCATGTCCATGCCCCTCCACTTTGAAGATAGCAAGCCATCATTTTACAAAGCAGATCTAAGCAAGTTACCATTTCTTTTATTTGAAGCTCTTTAATGGCTCTCACTACCCAAAGAGGGTAAAGGCCAAATTCCAGTCTTCATCCTAACATATCCTTCTGCACCTAAGAGCCTTGCTCTAACACCCTGAATTCCAGCCATCACACATCACCTGCAGTCAGCCTACAGAGCTATGCTTTGGATTTCATTGTTTCTTTTGCCTGGGAAGCTCTCACATTGTCCCTAGGCACTTATTACATGATTTCATCTGAATGTCTAGCAAGCAATTAAAGCCAAACATGGCAGAGAAAGTATTCCTTATCTTACACTCTTAAGGTAAGCTGTATGTAATTTTATTTAGCAGCACTTTAATTCCGTCTGTCCAAGACTCAATATGCTAGTGCCACCAAATAATGGTGCTGAAAGGCATCTAGTGATATTAAATATTCCCCTGCTTTAAGATGGCACTGCATTTAATTAAATTAATGGAAACTTTTACTTGCCATGAATTAAGATGTAAAATTTGAAAACATAAGTTAATCTGATCGTATATTAAAAGACAAATAAAAAAACAGTAGCCAGGGCTTTAACTTCACAAAGCAGAAAATCTATTCAACTAGAAATTTAATCTTCAGATATAAAACATGCTTCCTAATGTGTAATTACAATTAACGAATGAAGGAGTTTTAAACAGAAAGTTTACTCTAGAGTAAAATTTTTAAGTATTCTTATTTGTGCCTTGTTTTATATCACTCACATGCGTTGGATAAAAATGAAGGAGAAAATACTGAATATTTCTACTATAACATTTTAGGGGGAAAAAACCGTTTAAAACTAAAGAGGTGGTAATGGAAATCAGTCTGACTCAAAGTTTTTCAGCCTCAGCACTATATACATTTTGGGCCAGATATATCTTTGTTGGAGGCTAACCTATGCAATATAGAGTATTGGCAGCATGCTGGGCCACTACCAGCTAAGTGTCAGTTGTGTCCTTTTCTTTGTACCAACCCAAACTGTCTCCTAACATTGCCAAATGTCTCCTGGAAGGACAAAAATCACTCCTATTTAAGAATCACTGGTCTAGCCAAATCACTCCTTACCATAAATCCTTTGATTGTTCTGTAGTAGGAATCCAATAAAAGAGAGCCAAGGGAACAAACCTGGGAAGTCCTATCCCAACCATCAGAACAATGTACCAACACACTTGCATTTTCCACCATTATCGCCTGAAAAGAAAGATCACATACTTCAATTACAGCAGAATACATTTTAGGTAGATCAATTAAGTTCTACTTACTCAAAAACTATACTAGCAAATATTGCATTACAAGGAAGAGCAAGGACTGCAATGATAATGCTGCCACAGTATATTTTTCAAAAGACAAGACAAAACACAAAGCAAAACCAAAACAAAACCAAAACTGCTATTTCCAAGTGTCTATGGATCTCACCTAAGTCCCTAAAGTGCTACATGATTTTTTAAAGCTCAAATTAAAATAAGCCTTATTAAAGAGGTAAAACATAAAAGTTATCTGACTGGAAAGGGTACCAGCACCCAACAGAATAAATGCAATCCTTCCCAACCATTAAAAATCCCCAATCAAAAATGAGTGAAGAAGAGTTACTTTGGCTAAGAAGATTGCAGCATCCATAACAGCTTTGATGTGGCGAAGCCATCCTGAGCTCTCCAAACCAGAGTAGAAATCACTAACAGAAAGCCCTTTGGTACCATTGACTGAAAAGGGGAAAAAAACATTTCGATTAGAATGCAGCCAGAGCTTCCACTTCTCCTATTCAAGCTCCCTGAGTGAGTGAATTGGGGGGAAGAGCACAAAATAAAATGCGAGACTCTATAAATGAAAAGATGCTATTAGAACCTCAATACTGGATTTTCTGGGTACATTTTTTTTGGTCATTCCTTGTGCTTAAAAAAAGCTCCAATCTCTTCTTTAAAAAAAGAAAAATCTAGAGTACAAAGTACTTAATTTCAAAGTCTGATATTTTGGGACACCTGGGTGGCTCAGTAGTTGAGCGTCTTCTGCCTTTGGCCCAGGGCGTGACCCTGGAGTCCCAAGATCGAGTCCCATATCGGGCTGCCTGCATAGTCTGCTTCTCTTTCTGCCTATGTCCCTGCCTCTCTCTCTCTCTCTCTCTCTCTCTCTCTCTCTCTCTGTGTGTGTGTGTGTGTGTGAGTGTATCTCATGAAAAAAATAAAAATCTTAAAAAAAAAAGTCTGATATTTTAATTTTTAAAATTCCACACTACAACTGGAAAGATACCTTGATACTTAAATGGAGCATTATTATCAATTAAGCTTCATTGTACAGACTAAGCAAGAATATCTATATAATAATAACAATTTTTTTTGCAAAACTATTAGAACTGTACTAATACATCAGCCACTACCCAAAGTGACATGTGAATAATCTAAACTGAAACATGGTGTAATAGTATAAAATACACACTAGTCAATTTTCAAGACTTAAAAAAGACCTAAAATGTATCATTACTAATTTTTTATCTGATTACATGTTAACATGTTTTTAATGCATTAGGTTAAATATATTATTAATGTTAATTTCAATTTTTTTTTTACTTTTTATAATGTGAATATAGGAAAAAGTTTTTTTTTTTTTTTAAGATTTTATTTATTTATTCATGAGAGACACAGAGAGAGAGAGAGGCAGAGACACCGGCAGAGGGAGAAGCAGGCTCCCTGTGGGGAGCCCAATGGGGGATTCAATCCTAGGACTCTGGGATCACACCCCAAGCCAAAGGCAGATAGATGCTCAACCACTGAGCCACCCAGGCATCCTGGAAAATGTTTATTTATTTTTACTTTTTATTTTTTTTGAAGATTTTATTGACTTATTCATGAGAGACACAGATAGAGAGGCAGAGACATAGTCAGAAGGAGAATGAGGCTTCTTGCAGGGAGCCCAATGTGGGGACTCTGGGATCACACTGAGCCAAAGGCAGAACTCAACTGCTGAGCCACCCAGGCGTCCCTGGAATTTTTTTTTTTTTTAAGATTTTAAAATTTTATTTATTCATGGGGGGGGGGGAAGAGACACAGGCAGAGGGAAAAGCAGGCTCCATGCAGGGAGCCTGACGTAGGACTTGATCCCGGGTCTCCAGGACAAGGCCCTGGGCTGAAGGCAGGCACTAAACCGCTGAGCCACCTGGGCTGCCCCCTGTAAAGTTTTTAAATTACCTAATTTTAAATTTTATAATGTGACTAACATATTTCTATTAGACAAAGTTGCCTCAAAGGCAAACAATAATCATACCTTCCAATAATTTCTGAAGGCTGGACCGCATGACATGAATATTTTCAATTCCAACAAACTGAAATCGAATGTTAGAATAGTTGTCTTCATTTTCATAACCTTTTCCAGCTGCTCTGTTGGCCATTGCATTCAGCTAAAATTTAAAATTTTAGAAATTTATGGACAAATTGCTTTTATCTCTTAGTTTACCAAAAACATCATGGAAATACTAAATAAACCACATTTTAGTAGAATTTAAAGAACTCTTCAAAACTGAGTATGTTACTATTTTTTAATAAGTAAAAGTGTCACATGTTATTAAGAGTAATGAAGGACACTTTATATAAATAACAACATGACTGCTATAAAATGAAAGGTCAGACAAGAAGTTTCCCACAAATAATTTATGAAACTAATTCACTTATGGTTTTAGACAGTTTTCCAAATGTTTGTAATATTTCAAAAGTTAAAAGTTAAAAAGGAACAAGTATCTCTTATCTGAATCCTAAATAATTCAGAAGTGAACCAAGCAGGGAAGCTTTTCTGTTACATTAATGAACCTATTAGATTCACTTCAGAGCAAGCCTGTGCAACACCTGATCATTCAGAGAGCCATGGGGACTCTGAGAAATCATCTGAAATACACGTGAGATTATTCAAGGTCCTCCATATTAGAGATTACTGGAGGCCCACATAGTATATACCGTGGCATATCATCCAATAGCTTGATACAGCTCCAAGAATTGGGCCAATATAAATTGGCCCCTAAGGAAAAAACAGACTGCCAGTAGGCCCATGGTCTTTGGTTACTAGATCACAGGTTCGTTTAAGATTTGGTATGTTTAATTCTTTCAAATAGGATTTCATGTTGCACGTTACTACAGTTTACAGAATATTCTTATGAACCTGGATGTAACAACAGCTAAGTTGGAAGAAAAAATAGCTTTTTATTCAGTAGATGGGGTTCCAGGTTGGTAATAAGAACAGTTCAACTCTACCTACTGACTCACTGGTTAATTCAGCACCTATGATGGCTAAGATGAGTTAGATATTCAAATACTTCTACAATATTACTAATTAGGTTGAAGTTTAAACTAGTACAAACAATCAAAGAAATGCCTATTTGCTGTGTAGAAATCAATTATACAAATAAGAGATACTAGGTCCTGGGAAACAGATCGCCTTTGGGCCTCATATTCAGAAAGTCTCAGATTACAATCATCTTTTATATCTAATATCACCTAAAAGTAGTTCTGACCACTGAATTCACCCAGATCGAACAAGGAAGAAAAATAAAATTTGTCTTACAAGAGATATCATCAACATTTCTGACTTCTAAGAAAGTCTTTTCTTGTTAACAAGATAAAAGATTATCAAATTATCAATTTCTAGTTTTTAATGCTTAATTTACTCAGATTAATCTCTTCTGTTTCCTCCATTATATTTTATGAGAATGCATAATGATGAGAATAACTTCTAAAACAGTTATCATTCTTTTCAACAAAGCTGCCTAAAATTGTGCTCTATATTGCTCACTCGCTTTTTCTCATCGCTTTCTCTTATTTTCTCATCATTCCAGATTTTTGAAGAAATCCTCACTATAATTCTGCCAATGTCCTTTTGTGTAGCCCACCAGCTCTGCATTCGATGCTTTAATAAAAATCAAAAGTAATGTTAGCTATTACCATTGAGGATTTTAATTACTTTAGTTTCAGGATCCTATATGAATGAGTTGTTTAACCATGTTTATTAAAAGAAAAAGGGATTCTGACATTGGTCTCAATGATAAAAACTGAACCTAACATTACAGCTGCCTAACAGAACAACTATTTCTTGTTCACTATTTATAATACTCTAGTTCAATGCTTCCTACCTCACTATTTTCCTTATTTTCTTGAATATTTCAAATTGAGGCCCCTTATTTTAATACAAAGTGTTTTGACAGTTAAAAATTCTACCAAAAAAATTACTAAGATTTTCTAATTTTTCACAACACACACTATTTAATATTTCTTGACAATAATGTAAGACTTATACATCATCAAGAGTTCCCAATATAAAATTCTGTTTTTCTAGATTTACATATAAATCAGAAGACATAAGAAATCACCATCTGGGAAATTGGTCTCCTAAGTTGGTATCCTTTAAAAGATTGCTCTCCTCAGTATCATTAGCCTCAGTTAATTTAAAACTGGGATTCAGATAGGTTAAATACGGGCAAATTGATCAACTCTCATTAATTAAAGTAACAAAGATAATTAAACTAACAGATTTGTACTACATTCAAGACACATACTTTGGGCCTGGTATCCATGACATACATATAGCGATTGACCGGATTGGCTTTACTAATGGCTTGAAGCAAATGTTCGTCCTCCAGGCATCTGGCACTGAATCCTGATAGTGGTTGACTACATCGACAAATGGCAGCCTAATTTTAAAAGGACAGAAAACAGATTATCCAAAGATGTCTAAAACATGTCTAAAAAAATGCTTAAAAGAAAAACAAAAGTTAAAATCAAACATGTAATCTGTTTAAAAGTTGGCAGGACAATCAGAAGATATTAACCCTGAAATCCTATTTGAATTAAACACTATTTGAACATCCTGATGTCACATAAGTTTTCCCAATATTCTCTTCTGAAAAACTGAAATGCCTCCTTATGTAGTTTGATGAAAAAAATCTTAAGTTCTGAGAAGCAACACGTGATAAATTCTCTATCATGTAACCTACTAAGATACTTGCATGCTATGTTCTAGATGATGAGATACTTTCAACTGAAATTCAAGTAAGGGATTAATCAATAAAGATAGAACAGGATTTTTAAAAATAGCAACATTTGAGTTCTTATAATGTATTATTTGAGCTTTTAGATCTCTATTTAGAAATCAGCTAACTTTATATAAAATGAGACTACAATAAAAAAATGAACTTCAAATTTGAGTTAAAATATAAATCTAAGTGTGCAAAACTATCTGTAAGAAGTAGTGATTGTTGGATTAGATATTTACTATTGTTCAAAGTCTTAAAAAAAGATTAGAAGATTTAGACCCAAATAACTTTTTTTACAATCTCATTCATACCAGCTCCAACTTAACCCTACCCAATCATTCAAACCATAGTATCATAAAGGAAAAAAAGTATACATAAATTCACACATAAAACCATGAAAATTTAAGAAGATAGAAGAAAATGAAGATTGCTTTATAAAATTCTTTTCAGATGTACTTTCTGATTTCTTAAATTGGGCACTGAATATCTATTTTCAGCCCAACATTCCAATAAACAATGTATAAAAATATGGGTGTGTCAAACCAAGGCCATAACCAGTCCTAACTCCCTTCCTATGACTTTTTTACGAAGAACAGACTAGGAATTTCTGTTGAAAGTTTCACTTTCCACCTCTGGTTTCCCAAAAACCAAGTAAAATTCTAATAAAGACATCTAAAATGTATAAAATTGGAAGATCAAAAAGGATGGAAAAGGAGAGAAAAATAGAGATTTTTTTTAATTTTTTTAAAATTAAAAAAAATTTTTTTTGCATCCTGGTGATCACATTTATTGAAAGAGTTGGAAAAAAATTAAAATGCCCTTTAGCTTAAGAATTTTTGAGTTATCTGCAAATCAACTCATTTCAGGAGTGGAAGAATCCTTGGTCATTTCTTAATATCAAAATGAACGCAGGTTTCTCTTTTGGATGTCTTCTACATTTAAAGAGGCAATCATACAAAATCTCCTATATTCCATACATGATAAACTCTTTGTTTCAGCCAACTCTTAATGGAGGAGCAACTAGTACAACACCATCTCCCCAGACAAAAAGCATTGGAATATTCCGTTTTGTTGATTTATATATCTCTTCATATGTTTCTTCATCAATTTCTATAGTAGTCACAGTTTCTTCCACATCTCCCAATATCATATTTAAATGCTGATCATATGCATGTAATCTGCCACGAAGCTCTAGGCCATTTCTCATTTTCACATCAATTCGCTCATCCAGGCTGAGCCTGATGAGATCCAGGGGCTCTTCTACGGTGTTGGTAGTTTGTTGCTCGCCCACATCGTCCGCCATCTTTCAAACCCTGTGCCGTTTCCCCAGAGTAGAGATTTTAATAAAATTTTAGGAAATGAAAGCAAATAGACAAGTTAGTAATGACCAATTTACCAGGACAAAGAAAGGTGCCAAGTTGTTATGAGTCAACAATAAGCAAGCATCTTGAGCAGCAAAATCCCAGAAAGACTCAGGATTTGGTACCTCTGAAAGCCTGAGCTGGAGTATAACTGAAAATAGAATTGGTTGAATATCCATATAGGGACTAATAAAGGCTCCCAGATCTTCCCTCGCCCTGAAGACAAAGTTTACTCTATGAAAAGGATTAACCTGAAGACTGGGGCCAATATGCATAGCTGTGCGTAGGAGGGAAGCCCTGTACCCCCCAGAACAAGAGGATTAAGTAAAGCCTACAAAACAAAATGTGAGATCCTCCCATCTGCCTTCCCCCGCTTGAATCCTGGACAGAACTAACACACCACATTGGGATGAAAATTAACAGAAAGAATCCAAAGATAGAGATCACTCATGCACACAAACTTCTAAATAGTTTGTGGTACCTCACTCGTTAAGTGTGAGAGGCCAGCCAAGAATCAGGTATTTGAAAGACATGAAAAACAAAACAAAAAGAAAAAACTCTGAGCAATAGACAACTAATGTGGGAAGCAAAATAATTCTTTTTAAAAAGTCCTTAACATCTTCAGAGAAACCAGTCATCACGACCATGAATACAAAAGTGTCTAAAAAGTTCAGAAAGTAGGGAGAGTTCTTAGATTTTAAAAACAATATAGAAAAAATAAAGAGATGGGCTGGAAACAAAGTTGAAGTAATCTTCTAAAAACTAGAAAGAGATGGAAAATAGAGAAAATTAAGAAAAATGGAGGTTTACAGAAGCCCATTTGCCAACCAACACACACAAAAACACACAAAAGTGCAAAACAAAGTAACAGAAGAGAGGAAGTCACCACAGAAATAGAGAAGTAACTTCTCAAAAGTAAGTTCCCAGAATCTTAAAAAACGTACCAAGGCACTTCATTGTGAAATTTCAGAACACTGGGGAAAAAAGATTCTAAAAGCTTCCTGAGGAGAAAAAAAAATCAGGTCACAAAACACTGGGAGTTAGAACTGGCATGGAACTCCACAACCTACTAGCTGTTAGATTTAGGGAGAGTGATTTATCCTCTCTTCACAAGTTGAAAGTTATAGGTAATTGGCAAAGCCTACCTTATAAAATTAACATGAGATTACATGCATATAAAGCATCTATAACATACTGACTTGTGGCCTATTGTTACAAGCCACGAGGGAAAATTTTGCTGTCGTGAGTAATACCTATTACAGTACCTCAGTATAAAGATACTTCCTCCTCCACCTCTTCATATTGCAAAATCCTTCTGATTGAGAGAGCTTTCTAGAAAAAGCGAGAGCTGAAATATAGCTGGCTTTCTTCTTTTTCTCAGTAGTTGGTTTATCTATCTGTTTTTCCCAAATACAAGCAGGATCAAAAGAGAACCACAGGAAAGAAGCAGCTATATCTGTTCACTAATCTCAGTATTTCAAGTCCCTACCAGAAGCAAGACAAGACTGAAGGAGGGTAAGGGAGGAAGCAAACAGGACAAGTATGAGAATCTCTACATTTCAGGGTAATTTTAAAATTTCAAAAACATACTCAAGAGAAAAGCCAACACTCTCTATCAGCAATATTATAATAATGACCTCCCTATATAAAAATGAGTGTTTAACTGGATACTTAAACCTGAAGAGAGGTTATACCACATTTGTAAAAGAAAAAAAGAAACCTTCTTTTCTTACCTCTCTATTTTGATGATAATAGGAAAGGACCGGGAATCTTCCCTTGCTCCGGAACTTGGAACTACCAACAATTATTGGTTTGCTTGCTATTCGGGGAACATAAAGTTCTCTGGGATAAGTTTCACAAATCTGTAAAAATCAAATAAAACATAACCATTCTATCCACAGTTCAAAAATCATGAGGTTAAAAATCACCTTTAAAAAACGTTACAATTTCTTAAATGCAACAACAGTACATAACAATATTGAGACAACATGCTACTATGACACTCTATCTCAGTACTAATATCTGAATTTCTCCAAAAGGTTGCTAAGTCAAAATACGTCAGTCATACAAAGACAAATACCATATGATTTCATTCATATGTGGAACTGAAGAAACAAAACAAATAAGGGGGAAAAATAGGGAGACAAACCAAGATACAGACTCTTAACCGTAAAGAATAAACTGATGGTGACCAGAAGGGAGGTGGGTGGGAGGATGGGGGAAATAGGTGATGGGGATTAAAGAGGGCACGCACTTGCTGTGATGAGGACTGGGTGCTTTGTAGAAGTGCTGAATCACTATATTGTACACCTGAAACTAATACTATATTGTATGGTAGCTAACTGGAATTTAAATAAAAACTTAAAAAAGACTGCTAAGTTACCTTGTATTCTCGGTTGGCATCAGACAGCTGCCAGTTTGAATTTGGCACTCCCATCCTCTTATATTCCTCAGCAAGGTCAATGAGCTGCCAACCTTGTAGTCGTTCCGAATCATTTTGTTTGGGATTATAAGAGAATGCATAGAGATCTTCATATTTTGCTATAAGTTTACAAAATACACAAATGTTACAATGCAACTTCTAGGACTTAAAACTCTACAAATAATAGTAACTTTTCAGTTTTATCCCTCCATTATTTCTTTAAAATTTTCAAAAAGATAACTAATACCTGAACATATTTGAACTTATTTTCTCAGTTATTTCAAGTGATTGTATCTAAAGGCATGCATATCAATCTGAGATTCACCTATATAATCAGCAAAAGTTAATAAACAATACTTTTATATTAAATACTCTAGTGTAAATAATTCCTTTTCTTAAAAAGTAAATTTTAATGACAAAGACAGACACACACACTTCTCACCCACCACACTTCCCAAATGAGATATAAAATGGAAATACTAATGCTGTGATAAAAAACTAGAGGTGGCATATAGAACATGAAATTTCATATACATTCTTATAGGACAGTGTTGACCAAAAATGGCAATAGTTGCAGAGAGTTCCAGAGACAACGTGGTAAATGCTATAGGCTTTATGTATTAGGAGACAAGGGTGTACATACACCTGCTCCTAGACCACTGCAATCCAGGTGTTCAACAAAAAGTAACATTCAGTCACCAGTGTGCTTTGTCTCCTGGAGAGATCTACATACTTCAAGTCATGCTGGGGGAAGGAAGCCTCCAGATCTCAAAGGCATAAATAGTGATGGGTTCCTTTTTCGGAACTACATGACTTTCACTTCTACCTCTAGTCAAGTAGGATTCAACCTCTACTTTCCCTCTGGTCATCTCCCTTATGCTCCACTCTGATCAATTAAATTCATTGGTCTCACTGCTACCAGAGGAACCTGACCTTCCTTAACTTTTCTTTTAGCAATCAATTTCCAAGTCATTCCCCCTGGTTTGTGGATACCCGTGTGAAAAAAATAAAAATAAAAAATAAAAATAAAAAGCTGTGCTGTTGGCTACCAACAAACTTTAAAAACATTAATATAGGGCAGCCCCGGTGGTGCAGCGGTTTAGTGCCGCCTGCAGCCTGGGGTGTGATCCTGGAGACCCGGGATCGAGTCCCACATCGGGCTTCCTGCATGGAGCCTGCTTCTCTCTCTCTCTCTCTGAATAAATAAATAAATAAATATTTTTTTAAAATTAATATAAATCTATAGTTTCTAAGATCTGTACTATAAATGTTAATTAACTTTCTCCTTACTCTAACCATTCTTACAATTCAGATCAGAAGCATCTAATTATTTCCAAACCAAATTTTTGGAAATAGAGTGCATAAGAACTTAAGGGTTACTTCAAGGATAAAGTAACAATGGCATATTAAGTATCTTAGATAACCCATCTCAAAATTAAGTAAGTTTGTCTCTAAAAACAGTACCTTGTTTTGAGAGTTGTAGCAAAGAATTATAAATATCATGGCAATCTCTTTCTCTGGGAACAATGAAATGCACAATCCTGAAGTTTTTGCACTGAATCACAAGTGGGCATCCAGAAGTAGTCAAAGCTAGTTTCTCTACTAAGGCAATATGGTGGTGCAATATCTACAGCATGAAAAAAAACAAGTGATCAACATCATAAAAAAGTGCTCAGTATCGTATTCTCTTCCAGAGCATATATTAGAAATGCCCTCTTCACATAAAGTATTCAAAACCTGCCTACATTAGAACTATGCTCTGATTCCTCTTCCATCACTCCACATATTCACTACATCATCAAACCCCAAGAACTGCATCTCCTACATATCTGTAACCTGTCTACTTCTCTCTTTGTCTGCTGTCACTCCCCCAGCTGGAATGCTGCCATCGTTTCTCACCTAATTAATTGTAAGTAGTCTTACAAAAGCTCTCCCTGTATCTACCCTTGACCCCCTCTAATCCATTTTCTAAAAGGCAGGTGAGTGACTATTAAAAAAACAATTAAAAAAAAAAAACAATATAGGGATGCCTCGGTGGCTCAGTGGTTGAGCATCTGCCTTCTACTCTGGGGATGATCTCGAGGTCCTGTGATCGAGTCCTACAACAGGTTTCCCTCAGGAAGCCTGCTTCTCTCCCTCTGCCTATGCCTCTGCCTCTGTGTCTCTCATGAATAAATAAATAAAATCTTTCAAAAAATAAATAAAGATTAAAAAAGCAATATAGTTTGTGTCATTTCCCAGACTCTAGGCTCAAGACTCATCTCAAGTACCTCTTCACATCAAGTGCAAGTGACAGTTCTCTTTTGGCTCCTCAAATTCACCAATCTCCTTTACATATACTGACATTTCCTACTAACTAGGAAATTATAGATCTACCTCTTCACCTAGGAACTTCTATTATTTCTGTCTGGCCTTTATTTAAACCTCATCACCAAGAAGAACACCCTGACAACTCTCATGGCCTTTCCCAAGTTAGGTCCCCTCCATTTTCTTATGCCTTATCAACTATATTTTTCCTTCACAGCACTTAGAACATGACTAATTCCTTGTATAGTGAATGTCTATTTTTCCAGCCAGATGTTGGGAACTTTGTAAGGAACCATACCACAGCTAAGTTGAGCATCATTCTATCTGTAGCACCTAACACAATATCTGGAGCATTATAATGACCCTCCTCAAAAAAAAAAAAAAGTTTAAAATGTTGTATCTCATAAATCCAAACTTAAAATTTGACCAGACCAATAATACAGGTGTCATTGCTTCTACCTCCATCACAATAAATGTTTACTGAATGAATGAAGAAAGACCTACTAAAAACTCAACCCATAATGGCAGTTTAAATATATGATTATCATTCATAGCAGTTCTGATATTCTCTTTGCTACTAAAAAAGTTTTTTTTCTCAGTATCATTCCTATGAATTTAAAATATTTATGGAAAGTTTTTCTAGAAAGTAAAAGATCCTAGAGTTCCTGAATAAAACTGAATCATGGCAAGAAATTCATTCCAAATTAATCTAAAACTTTAACATAAGTTCGATAAAAAGTTCCAAACTGCTTTTTGCCTTTTTCTGTGGCAGGGTAAGAGATGATTATTTATATCATACATCATACATATATATTATACAATTATAATATTAAATGCTAATACTAATCATATAAATTATATATAGTGACTAATGTTCACATGTAAGATTAAATGTACAAAATAATCAAGAAAAACTTTAAAAAGACTAATAAGAACTTGTTCTACAGACATTAAAAGTATACACTACACAGATATTTAATACACATTGCACATATATAGCCCAAACTTAGGGCCAAGATTTAGCACTATTAACATTCATATTAGCAGGCCTGTGCCAAGTTACTCAAAATGATCTAATAGTAACATCTAAAGAGAGTAAGAGACAATAAGCTACTATAATATCACTATTATGATTCTAATTAAGACCCAAAATTATTTATAAGAAGAAAATGTTGAAGAGACCTGACTGTGCCACTAACTAGTTATGTGATCTTGAAAAAATAATTATCTGTAAAATGAGAAAAAGATAAAGTTAGTAAGTCCACTACTAGATCTAAAATATTTATTTCTATAGATCTAGGTTACTAAACATTTAATTCAGGAGAGACATATGGGACTATACTGATAAAAAGGCATTTTAAACACAGTAATAGGAGAGAATAAAATAGATGCTTTTCCACTGCCCCTCAAACTATTTTTCCAACATCTGCAAGAAGAGATCTATGGGAAACTTCCCTGTGTATCTCAGGAGATGAAAAACATACTGAGAAGATATTAAAGCAGACGGACAAAGGAAGGGTGGACAGAGTGGATGATAATATGACTAATGATTTTATAAGGCCCTGCTAGGTGAAATCCTTAACAGTTTCCGGGCCAACACTAGATGGGGAAAAGCTTCAGTGTCTCAAGGGAATACAAATTCTCTGAGATCAACATCTCAGGTAAGTATCTTGACTTACTTATTGCAATCACATATCAACTGGATGGCCTTCCTGGGAAAATCAAGAGAGTACAATAAAAGAGAGATTGTATTAAAAAGCTAGAATCAATAAAACAGTGTGCTATTATACAGTGGAATCAATATATCAAAAGAACAGAATAGAGAGCTCAAAAGCAAACCCTCACTTTGTTTGACAGAGTTGATACTACACATTAATGCACTGAAACCATCAATAAACAATGCCAGTATCCATATGAAAATAATGAAAAGGATAAAAGTTAAAATGAATCCCTAAGTTATATCATCCGAGAAAATATCTTCCATATGTATTAACTAACAACTTATCCTGAAATACAAAATGTAAGCTTTTAGAAAAAAATACAGGAGAATCTTTATGACTTTAAGAATCCCTTAAGTCAGAAAACAGCATAAACCATAAAAGAAAAAATGAAAAATCGAATACACTAAATTAAATTTCTAATACACTAAATTTGAAACTTTAATTCAAAGATGTATATACACACAAGACAAGCCACACACTGGGAGAAGTTATCTACAACACACATACCTGACGAAACATTAAAAACCAGACTCATAAAGCCAATAAAAGGACAAACAGCCCAACAGAAAAAGAAAGCTAAAGGCCAAAATATCCGAAAGGATGATTTCCTTGTAATCAGCAAATTAAAATCACAACTGCATATCCACCAGAGAGGCAAAAATTTTAAAGCTGATAATATCAATGTTGCTAATGATGGCAGACAACACATCACACTCTACTGAGAATAAACATTTTGAAACAACTATTTTGGCAAGGGCCACATTTAGTGAAGGAAAATATGCACTTTTCTAAGACCTAGCAATTTTACTCGCAGGCAGTTACCTCTGAGAAATTCTGGTGCATATACAGGAAGAAATATATACAAAATATCCATTACTGTATTGCTTGATCTACAATCAATCAATTAAAAAATACCATAATTGCAACTTGGTGTAAAAATACCATGGATAGGGTGTGTGTGTGTGCTTTCTCTCTCAAATAAATAAATAAAATCTTAAAAAAAAATAGCATGACTAAGTCACTTAAACTGTTAAATATTAAACACGTACATATACTATTTATATTTTTAAAAATTAAAAGGAACAAGTAGGTATTTTATACTTATTAATGCAGATAAAAAAATCTTGCTATATAACCTATAAAAGAGTTCCACATTCCACATGGTATCCTTGTTTTATTAAAAGGGAGGGTATAAGTGATGAGGCGACTGAAAAAATTTTTGTTGAAACAGGTAACCAATGATTAAATTTTTTTTACATGATCAAAATGAAATACAGCAATAGGCCAAATCCATTATTCTAAGTATGGTAAGCAGTATAGCAGATGCCCTTCTTACCCAGGTTTCTTTCTGATGAGAGTCTATAAAAAATAGATGTGTGGCTGTAAGATAGAGTGTTCCTGTTAGTGACTTGTTGCTGGTACTGAATCGGTCAAGTAATTTCACTTGTTCAACCTAAAAAAAAAAAAAAAAGTTATTTTTCATTTCAAAAGTAATGCAAATTCTTTATTATTATTCTTTTAAATGGTACATTTAAATCCTGGGATAACATTTTCCTCTTTCTATTAAAAAGCATGAGTTTATTTAATGTTGAACATCAAAGTTCATGTATCTTGGGGAGTATATAAACCACAAGAAACACAAGTACTATTTAGAGTTATAAATACAACCAATAAAGGAACTCTGTAAAAAAACAACATAAATATTAAGGAGAAGGGGAAGGAGACCCATGGTATAAGCAAACAAATGGTTTTCATATCCAAGAGTCCATATATATTTTTTATTTCAATATTATTTAGTTAACATATAGTACAATATTGATTTCTGGAGAAAATTCTGTAATTGATCACTTATAACACCCAGTGCTCATCACAAGTGCCTTCTTTAATATCCACCACCCATCTACCCCATTCCCCACCCACCGCCCTCCTGTTCATTCTCTATTGTTAAGAGTCTCTTATGGTTGGTTCCTCTCTCTACTTTTCCTTTCCCCTTCCCATATGTCCATCTGTTTTCTTTCTTAAATTCCACACATGAGTGAGATCATATGGTATTTGTCTTTCTCTGACTGACTTATTTCACTTGGCATAATACCCTCTAGCTCCATCCACATCATTGCAATTGGCAAGATTTCACACACATCACCTTCTTTATCCATTCATCAGTTGATGGACACTTGGGTTCTCTCCATAGTTTAGCTAGTGTTGATAATTCTGCTATAAACATTTAGGATGCTTGTACCTCCTTTGAATCTGTATTTTTTAATCCTTTGGGTAAATACCTAATAGTGAATTTGCTGGATCATAGGGTAGTTCTATTTTTAACTTTTTGAGTAATCTCCATATTGTTTTCCATCCTATTCTCCAGGCTGCATCAGTTTGCATGCTGTTTTTTGAGGAGGCTCCATACTGTTCTCCAGGCTACACCAATTTGCATTCCCACCAATTGTGCAAGAGAGAATTCCCCTTTCTCCATATTCTCATCAAATCTTGTTTCTTGTGTTAATTTTAGCCATGCTGACAGATGCAAGAGTCCATACATTTAAGTTGGCAAAACAAGTAATAAATATCTAGCATCATGGAGTAAACTACCAGAAAAATCAAATCAACAGTTAAATGGTTGCAAACTCCAACTTAATCTCTATATTCTCCTCACCACTCCACCCAAGACATTGTTTTGTGGTCTGCTCTATGCTTTTACTCATACCATTCTCCCTTCCTAAGATGGTCTCTTCTGCTTAGCTAAGTGCTAAGTAAGCATTCTCTGGGGCTCACTGATACCCTATCTCCTAACTGGAATCCTTTCTCAGAAAACTGACTGACTTACTTAAATGTCTCAGTTTTGAGATCCCTGGGTGGCGCCGCGGTTTAGCTCCTGCCTTTGGCCCAGGGCGCGATCCTGGAGACCTGGGATCAAATCCCACGTTGGGATCCCGGTGGATGGAGCCTGCTTCTCCCTCTGCCTATGTCTCTGCCTCTCTCTCTCTCTCTGTGTGTGTGTGTGTGTGTGTGTGTGTGTGACTATCATAAAAAAAAAAGTCTCAGTTTCATCGTTCCTTCTGGCTCTGAATTCCCTATCACAGATTATATCACATGTTGCCTCTGTGTCCTGTAGTGGCTGAGGCAGTAAGGTATCTAGTACTCCTTTATTAATAAACACACATACACACACACAGAGCTGCCACTGGAGAGTGGGGTTAGAGTTGGCCACTACTACTGTGGGGTTACAGTTGGCCACTCCTACTGTGTAGGAGACTACTGTTTTGAAAACATAGTTATTTATTGCTGTACATTCTTTTTGGGAGGGGGGGGAAAAAAGTAAAACAACCATTTCCCATTAAAGAAATTTAATCCTGGGCAGCCCCGGTGGCACAGCGGTTTAGTGCCGCCTGCAGACTAGGGTGTGATCCTGGGGACCCTGGCTCGAGTCCCACGTCAGGCTCTCTGCATGGAGCCTGCTTCTCCCTCTGCCTGTGTTTCTGCTTCTCTCTCTCTGTCTCTATGAATAAATAAATAAGTAATCTTAAAAAAAATAAATAAAATTTTTAATCCATAGCCGTAACAGGAGGTTGCAGATAGTTCTTTAACTTCTATGTCTAACAATTATCTCACTAATTCTGTACTTTTCCCCCACATATATTTCCTTTTCCCTTACTAAAATTGAAGAAACAAATGCCCCTAATTATGAAATTATGATTTCCACAATAACTACCACGTAAAAAGCTAATTAGCTCCCCTTGAAGAAATTTAATTCCAAAAGTTTTTTTCTTTTAACAGCAGCTGTTCAAATAAGTTAAAATTTAACTGTAAAATTGAAATACCTGTTGTTGACACAAAATTTTATTTGTATGGGTAAGGCAATGAACTGAGTTTTAACATTTTCTTCTGGAAACTTAGATACAATCTAATTTATATAGCTCAGATCTGACAGTTGATTTGACATGTAAAAGTATCAGATAATTATACACACTATCCTTTAAGACGATAGGAAAAGACTGTATGAAGATTTCTCTTGGAGATCTGCATTTATTTCATTGTTTAGGACCATTTCTTCCTTTTAAAAAATCTAACTCAATTATATAACTCACACTGAATTAAAATTTAAATTTTTTAAAACAATGAAATCAACTACTGTTTACTCTCCTTCAATTGTGCTAGACTTAGTTGTAAGGAGACTACAGCCAACCAACAGTAATACCGTAATATAAACCTCACCTGCCTTATCTCCAAAGCAATTAAAGCAAAGTGTTAATATTTCTAAAGAGAATTAATGAATACATATAGAAATAAAGGTTACTACAAAGTATTAACCCTACTCAAGCAATTAATGCCAACATCATTTTGCAGCACTTCACATACTACTCAAAAAATTTTTAAAAAAAAAGGATATTGGTAAGTAAAGGGAGTAGGAGCTGATGTCATTACTACGTATTTAACTGAACAGCTTTTTTTATTTCTAAATCCATATGAAGTTTAATCTGTGGACTTTCAAAAGGTCATAAATAATTCTTATTAATCATATATTATGTATTAATCATAATAAATAATTTCTTTTTTTAAGACTTTATTTATTCATAGACAGAAAGAGAGAGAGAGAGAGAGAGAGAGATTGAGAGGCACAGAAACAGGCAGAGAGAGAAGCAGGCTCCATGCAGGGAGCCTGACATGGGACTCGATCCAGGGTCTCCAGGATCACGCCCTGGGCTGCAGGCGGCGTTAAACTGCTGCGCCACCGCGGCTGCCCCATAAATAATTTCTTGACAAAGCACAAATTCTCTACATGCACTTATCTACATGCAAAACAATCACACTACTTTCATTTGGATTTTAACTCTCTTCAGTCCATCTCCTATTTGTTACCCTTCTTCCTCAGGGGCCTCATTCTCTATAGGCAGCTTATCCACTGTCATTATTTTAACCTATATGTGAATGACTCTCCAAACTAAATGCCCAACTCTGAGCTCTCCTGAGTTCATATTGCCTGCTATACATATAACGACTACAATCATTCCTGACATAGTACTCAAGTCTTATTATATACTGAGTACTTTGATAAGTGCTTAACATACAGTATTTCTTTTAATTTTCACAATTCCTACCTAGTTAAGTACTATTAATCTCTGTATAGAAACTGAGACTTAGAGAAGTTAAATGTCCCAACACTACAGCTAGTAATAGTAAGTGGAACAGCAGAGTAATAATCCTATGTCATAGGTCTGATTCCTTCCCACCATGCTATACCGCTCTATTTGGATGTCTTAAGACTCATGTTAAGCATACTGAAAATGAAATGGATCTTTCCTCACTCCTCACAAATAGGTTCCTAATCCTGTATTTCTGATGTGAATTAATATAGGACTCCATCCTCATCTAGTCACCCACATTAGAAATTCAGGAATCATCCTATGACTTCCTCTTGACTCCCAATATTCTTTTTTTAAAAAGATTTTATTTATTTATTCATGAGAGACACAAAGGCAGAAATACAGGCAGAGGGAGAAGCAGGCTCTATGCAGGGAGCCTGATGTGGGACTCGATCCCAGAACCCCAGGATCACACCTTGAGCCAAAGGCAGACGCTCAATTGCTGAGCTACCCAGGTGTCCCAACTCCCAATATTCAATTAAATCACCAATTCCTACCAATTTTATAGCCTAAATATTTTAAAAATCTGCACCTTTCACTACTGTTAGAGTAGTTTCTATATTATAAAACATCTGTTCATGTCCATCTCTCCCACTAAAGCTATGACATACCCCAGGGCAAGAACTGTCTCTTATTTATGTCTGACTACCTGATGACTAGTATAGCATCTGATACAATAAATATTTGTTGGACTAGGGTGATCAGCCATAGACACATTTGCCACAGGGTGAAAACAGAAGATGCCCACAGTTTAGCAGTGGTCTCTTTTGCTGACATCACCCAAGAGATTTATTATATGAAATTCTACTTTGTAACATTATACTGTCCTTCATTTCTCTCTGCCATTTCTTCCTTACATAAAGGGTAAACAGTAAATACTCATTCAGTAATTTACAAATAGATGAACAAACTTAAGTAGAAAAATTACTAATAGTGTACAGTTATAGATCAGCTTTTTTGTTTTTAAAGCCACATGTGGACACTCAGTCTGCTATTCCTACCCCAACACCCAATTAAGTCACTCTTCCTCTAGAACTGCCTAACACTACACAGTTCTTTTGGGCTTGTCATCTATCAAGATTGGAAATTCAGGTTAAAAATACTCTCCCTAACACTCTAACCCTATTCCTTGATTCTCCCTAATTTCTATATCCAAAATTAACTTGAGATTCCATTTATTAAATCTTTAATTCTTCTTACCTACATAAAAGTCCCAAAGTCTAGCTGTTCATCTGAATCACCTCTGAAACTGCATAAATACAAATCTTAAGCCCCACTCAACTTCACTCAGTCGTCTCAGCAGACAGGACAT